AAAAAAATATAAATATGTGGGTCTCACCATTTTGTGTGAGTGAAATGATATAAATTGTGTCATTTAAAAGGATAAATACTTTTCTCTTAATTTATATACGCGCATACTTGGGCTTTTTGACCCTTTTGCCCTTCATTAATTAATTAATAACCTTTTTGTCCCTTATCCGAAACTATCTACCAATCTGCCCTTATTTAATCGATTAACTTGAAGATTTAATCGATTAAATGGTCAAAACTGACAAAAATGGTTGACTTGAAGATTTAATCGATTAAATATACCTATTAATTGATTAAATCTCCCTCTTAATTGATATAATCGATTAAAACTTATATTTAATCGATTAAATATACCAAATGAGCGTGAAAGCATTAATTGATTGCGTTTTGTATTTAATCGGAGTTGAATATGTTTTGTATTTAATAGGAGCTGATTGCGTTTTATTAGGAGTTGCCATTTTACAAGTTGGTTATAGATTGTCACCAATTCAAATTTTTTTTGTAATTTGTAATTCTGAGCCTATTTATGGGTAACATTCCAATGAAATGAGTAAATATATCAAATGAGCGTGAAATCATTGATTGATTGCGTTTTGTATTTAATAGGAGCTGATTGCGTTTTGTATTTAATAGGAGCTGATTGCGTTTTGTATTTAATAGAAGTTGAATTTGTTTTGTATTTAATAGGAACTGATTGCGTTTTATTAGGAGTTGCCATTTTACGAGTTGGTTATAGATTGTCACCAATTCAAAATTATTTGTAATTTGTAATTTTGAGCCTATTTATGGGCAACATTTCAATGAAATGAGTAAATATATCAAATGAGCGTGAAAGCATTGATTGATTGCGTTTTGTATTTAATAGGAGCTGATTGTGTTTTGTATTTGTATTTAATAGGAGCTGATTGCGTTTTATTAGGAGTTGACATTTCACGAGTTGGTTACAGATTGTAAAACGCAATCAATTCCTATTAAATACAAAACACATTCAACCCCTATTAAAATCAAAATGCAATTAGCTCCTATTAAATACAAATCACATTCAATTCCTATTAAATACAAAACGCAATCAGCTCCTATTAAATATAAAACGCAATCAATCAATGCTTTCACGCTCATTTGGTATATTTAATCGATTAAATATAAGTTTTAATCGGTTAAATCAATTAAGTGGGAGATTTAATTGATTAACTTAAAGATTTAATCGATTAAATCTTCAAGTCAACCATTTTTTCTAGTTTTGACCATTTAATCAATTAAATCTTCAAGTTAATCGATTAAAGAGGGGCAGATTAGTAGATAGTTTCGAATAAGGGACAAAATGGTTATTAATTAATTAATGAAGGGTAAAAGAGTAAAAAAACCTGCATACTTGTGTCTCATCCAAATAATACTATTTGCAAATTCCCATTCTTAGATCATTTAATAAATGAACTAACTCGTAGATAATTAAAGTTAAGCTCAGATTTATATTAAGTATTTTTTTATTTAAAAAGCTTGGGTATATTAGTCTTATTTAGAGTCATCGGGGTCATGGTAGTTAAAATCGGAATTTTATCTAAAATTGGAAGGAGGATAAAAAATTGCAAAACGCAAAATCCTAACGTAAAAAAAATCGTACAATCGCATATTTAAATCAGGATTTTAACTACCATGATCAGGGTTGTTTTGAAGTACTTTTTCTTACTTTTTGTACACACTTAATAATTTCTTTTCAATATTTTCACTGATACAAAAAATTTAGGGAAAAGTTCACCAATGCCCCTGTGGTTTGCTTCAGAATCATTTATACCCCTGTGGTTTTTTTCCTATCACATATGCCCCTGTGCTTTGTAAAAAATAAGAAACCATAGGGGTATATGTGATAAAAAACATACCCTTTTACAAACCACAGGGGCATATGTGATAAGAAAAAAACCACAGGGGCATAAGTGATTTTGAAGTAAACCATAGGGGCGTTGGTGAACTTTTCCCAAAAATTTAATAATGATTTTTATTTCAATTAACTATTGTGCTAAAATAACTTAAAGGGGTCCTATCCCTATCCAAAAAAAAAAAAAACTTAAAAGGGGTTTGTGCTTGGGAATCACAATTATTGAAAATATGTTAGGAAAATGAATTTTTTGTGATTGTGACAAAAAAATTATTTGATAGAGCAAAATATTATCAAAAATATTAGCTCAAGTTTCCTGATTTTATATTTAGTTGATAACCGAATATTACCGGGAATATAGGGTGGCACTAGTGGCGTGGCACCATCACTGCAAGAAGGAATTTTGCTTGACGCTACTGGCACAGAGTCCAAAATATTTTTCCACCTTTTGAGAATCCAAGATTACCACCCCAATGATGATATTCTTAGATGACATTTTGCCTTAATAAATGTTCACGAATCAGAATTTTGGGAAAATCAGATTCCCTAGAAATTTTTTCACAATCATTATATCAAATGTGGTTAAATAAGATTTTTAAAGTTACTTTTTCGAGAATCTAAAAAAAATTCTTGTACCAAACGCCCCCTAAGGAATATACTAATAAGGGTTTCAAGAAGAATATAAAATATAAAATATTTAATAAAAAAATAACATTTCAGGGATTAACGTTACTCATATTTTTGGAGATAATTTTATCTTCTACACACACATAAAAGTGTGTGGGTCTCATGTAGGGCCATGTGAAGAGAAGAAAGAGAAAAAGAAAATACGAGGCTTACATACTTTTATACATATGTATATGTAAAGAACCTTGAGATACACCACCCCAAAAGCTAGCTCGGAGGGTGAGAGTGCTCAAGGCCTTATAAAGGCCACATTAGTTGCACATACAACCAATGTGAGACTATATATATCTCAACACGCCCCCTCACACGAGAGCCCATTGGGCTTGAAGAGTGGATGATGCAACAGGCCCAACCTACCTGTGCTAAGAAATTCCACAAGAGAAAGTGGGGAGCGGCGAGGCTCTGATACCATGTAAAGAACCTTGGGATACACCACTCTAAAAGCTAGCTCAAAGGGTGGGAGTGCCCAATGCCTTATAAACTTCACATTTGTTGCTCATACAACCAATGTGTGACTATATATCTCAACACGCCCCCTCACACGAGAGCCCATTCGACTTGAAGAGCGGATGATGCAACAAGCCCAGCCTACCTGTGCTAAGAAATTCCACAAGAAAAAGTGGGGGGCGGCGAGGCTCTGATACCAGAATGTAAAGAACCTTGGGATACATCACCCCAAAAGCTAGCTCAAAGGGTGTGAGTGCTCAAGGCCTTATAAAGGCCACATTAGTTGCACATACAACCAATGTGAGACTATATATATCTCAATAGTATAGGAGATAAAATTATCTCGTGCAACATGAGAAACACTAATCTCAACATTTAATATATAATTAGAAAAATATTTTTGCAGTTAATGCAGATAAGTTAGCTGCATTTGCTTCCGAAACGACGTTGTTTTGAGATTCAAAGATTAGAAAATTATAATTATAAAGACTATAATAACCCTGAAAAAAATTAAAATTATAAAAATATCATGATTTTCACCCCAAAATGACGTCGTATTGATCTTATAACTTATATCCAGTAACTGCGGAAAAAGCGAAGTCATGTATAAAAAGAAGTTTAAAACATTTTATTTTATTTTCTATTTTTAATTATTTAACAAATATCTTAAAAACACTGCTTGACGTTAGCTTAATTAAGCCATGATTTTTTTCCAACTCATCATGATTGCTTAGAAGGCTAGAGCAGAAAGCTACGCGGAGGTAGAAATTTGAATGATGGACCATTTTCTAACAAACACGGATCAAGAAAATATAGAACGTCACGTCGATAAAGGTGAAACCACGAAAGATTGAATATTTGAAAAATTCTTTGAAAGTGACTTTTAAGCTTGTTTACGATTAATTAATACATTTGGTACTTACAAAGAATTTGCTCCTCAATTCTTCTCCGCGTAGTGCTGACAATTCAACTTCAAATTTTAAACAATATATGCGATGCGAACCCAGTATCAGACCAATAATCTAAATATACGAAACACTAGCATATATATGTTATTATAATTAGGTAAACAGAATTACTCTATTTAATTTATGCTTGTAACCACCGAATGACGCAATCAACACAAATTAATAGGAGATTGCATGTGAGTTTGATTGACTCCCTTTAAATTGAAAATAAAAAACAAGAATTCACATTAGGGCCATTGAAGTGAAATGCATTTATTAGTTTGTACATATATGGGGATATAAAATCTGTTCACACCCTCTGGTCCCACTTGGTTTATTATATACTTATCTGATTAAAAAAATGTTAGTTGACTGACTTGAGGTCTCTCTCCCTCCAGAAGTACCCCAGTTGTTAGTTGTTACACCGAGTAATACAAATATTCAAAAAGCAGACACTACACAACATGATACTAGCTGATGTTGAGAGGAAAAAGTAAAAAAGATAGAGAAAAAAGTAATTATAAGAATTGTGTAAAATTGGTGAGAGGAGTATATAATTACGGAAGCTTATCAAAGTAGAGGTAAAATAAATAATTTTTTTAACTATTTAATTTTATTTAACTAATTACCATTAAAAATTAAATAAATTAATGTTAATTATTGATATAATATTAAACAATAAAGATTATTTAATTTTATATCGCATTCTTCCTCCATAGGTTACATGTATCATTTTTTTTTTTATAAACAAGGCTACATGTATCATTATTATACGGGGAAGAATCCATTTACAATTTTTTTTTACAAATTATATTAAGTATGACCGGTCATACACTCTTGATTAAAGTATGATCGGTCAGACATAATATAGTTTGTAAACAATTTTTTTTTGTAAATATAACATTTTCATTATTAAATTATATAATACTTTTTCCATGCAACTTCTGTCCCACATTCAGAATATGTGGCTATTTATACCAACCTTCCTTTCAACACACACGCAACTTCTTCACTCTCTTGCTCTCTTGCTATAGGGTAGTACTAGTGATCAAGGTTCAAAAACAAGGCATGGATTATTTTAATCATCCAAACCCCAAAGCTCACAATCAGTTACTGTCACACAATTCCAAGAGATTAATGAAGTTTCTGCTTTCTTTTTCTCTGTTCTGTGTTTTGTTTTCTTTACTTCCCTTGATTCTTCAGTACCTGAAGCCTTTCCTCATGCAATTCTTTAGCTACACCATTGGCAAGAGCCACATGTTCCTTCTCTGCAATGGCCTTCTGGCTTTTATAGCCATGAACTCTGGTCTAATCAATGCCTTTTCACCAACGACTCATCAAAGCATTGAATGTGCTGTTGACAACGAGAAAAGTAGCAGGTTAGAATTCAATGTATCAGAGATTGCAGCACCAATTGCTGGTGAGAACGTTTTGGAAATTGAATCCCCACAAGAAGAAGAAAAGAGTTCGATGATAGAAGAACAAGAGAATATACTTTCAGTTTCAGATACACAAGAAGATGATGAAGAAGAGGGAAATGCCCTTATGATCATTGATGAAGATGAGCAAGAACATGAGCTTGGTGCAGATGACACAGAAGAGTTAAATAAGAAATTTGAAGATTTTATTAAAAAGATGAAAGCGGGGTTCTGTTCTGAGCCAAGAGATGAGATCAGTTCTTATTTTGATAATCAGAAATCAATGGTGGCTGTTAATTAAGTAGGCATTGGATCTCAAAGTTCCTCTCTTTTGCACCATTGGTCTTAAACATTTCACTTGACTTTAACTAACAGGGTGTCTTAGTTTTTCTAAGTTTTAGGTCACTTCAGACCACCCAGATTTTTGCTTGTAGGAATTAAATACTGGTCTACATGATTCTGTTGGAGTATGTTCTGTTCTGTGTTTTTTTTTATGTGTTCCAATGGAAAGATCAATCTCACTCTAATTTATTGAATGCAAATCTTGTTTACTGTCTTTAATATTTCTTCTCATGTTATTATTATTATTATTTTTTATCTTTCAATCAAAGTCAGATACAACACATTAACCCGGAAATAAGCCTTGATGTGAAATTAAGTAGCAACTTCGAAGAGAACATTCAATGAAGGGATGCGAAAAAAAAATTGCTGTATGAATTTGAGTTGTTTAAAAATTATAAATCATCAGTTCTGCAATAGTTGTTCACTTGATTTTATTTTTTATTTTCAAATCTCTCTCTTTTTTTTATAAATATTTTTAAGCTAATTAATTTAATATTTAATAGTTATTTTTATATTAATGGATAAAATAAAAAAAGAGAATAAAAGATTATTTGAACATGAAACTTTGGTATAAAGTTTTAGATAGAATTAAAATTTGTTAGGGTAATATAAATATATAAATTATTTTTATCTATATATTTTTTTAATCTAAAATTACCTTTTTTTTGGTCATTGTATATATGTATAGACACCCTTATGAGTTATTCTCATGAGTTTTTAATGTTAAGCTTATAAAGTTTGAACTTAATTCGTTTATATAATTTTTGTATTAGAACAACTTTTCGTTTATATAATGGAACCTAAAATTAAACTTGACTTTATTTGTGTAGACCCTGATCGAATATTTACTAAGTCAAGTTTCAACAATTCAACTCATTGGCACCCTCAATTCTTAGGATATATCCATGACTTCGGGCCAAATGTGGAATTTCAGCTTTTATGAGAAGTGCTTTCTATAAGCGAGCAAAAGTTTAGCATTTTTTTTGGGTATAACATTTATGCTTTTAGAGTTGTTGTCACAAGATCCTGAGTGGAAATTTGATCAATGTAAAGATAATCTAATCCTTATTACTTACTTTATTTATCTTTTCTCTTTTTAATATTATATCCAGAAAGGAAAGGAAAAGAGGGCGCAGCGTGTCATTCTCACTAATATAAGGTGACAGATTTTACTCTCTGGAATTTGTGGAATTTTGTAGCTGTAGACGTGGAAATAATGTATTTACAGGTTGTAAATGAAATGGAATAAAGCATATTTGAAATGACTAGGGTAGGAATTGACCCATTGCAATGCAGTGAAGAAGGGACCTAATTACCTTCCTTTGTTGAACTTCTAGAAAGTTTGTCCTCGCTTGGGCTTATTCATTTGACGTGGTCCCTTTTGTTTGTAAAAGAACATGCTGAGCAATTGCTTACTTGACCCGGGTCAAGGTCTTTTTGTCTTTCTGATAAAGCCAGCAAAATCGAAGGCATTAGTTTTCAAAAAAGGGATACAGAGGAGAGAACTCCAGTCTTCCCCGTGAATAAAGTTAGTTTTAAGAATGTGGGCCTAAATTTGTCCTTCCTTGATAAGAACACTTGCCAATCAATCTTAATGGAGCCATAAGCACTTGGGATAGCATTCAACAACTTTGATTCGTAGTAGGGCCTCATCACTGGCACGTATATCTCTAGTTATATTTAAGAGCTTCCTTTGTCCAATAATCAATCTTGCTGATTGGTAAATAAAAATTATTAAATGAAAAATTAAAGACTAAAATTTATTTACAAGTGTTGCTTGACACATACATAAAACTCTCGACTAGATTTTGGGTTATAATTTGAGTTTTGTAAATAAAAGATCAAAGCTCAATGAGTTGCATCTTTACAGAAATATTTTCGAGCAAAGATGTGAAAAGAGAGAAAATACTAAATTAGCAATATTGTTTTTTTATTGGTATGGAAGGAGTTTTCAACTTACTTTCTCGTGGCTCTTAGAATATTTTTATACTTTTTTTTGGATAATAGAATATTTTTATACTAACTTTGTATATCAAGCAACAAAAGCAAAACATTAGAAAATAGAGTGGCTTGGCAATTAATTGACCGCACTCCAGTACAGGTTGCTAGTAATTGAGCATTCGAAAGATCTCAATCAAGAAACCCGAATAGGACAGAAGCTTTATCGTGTTTGACCTGTACCCAAAACGACCCCACATAGATTGAGATTGAAGGTATTGTTAGTAAAGTATAGGATGTAGAGATTAGAAAGAGAACTTGCCCTTGAGGAAACTCTTGTTTCAGGGATCCAATAAATTCTGGTACGATGGAAGACATTGATATTACAATGTGGATTGATGTGATGGTCAAAGCAAAGCTATCCTCTCGTGTGTGTGTATATGGGAATTTTATTCATCAAGTAATATTTCTTTGACAATCTATAATATTGCATATATTACGCATAAAATACACATAAACTACTAATGTTGCCACATTTGATGATTTCAAGTATCATCCCCGATGACACGCTTCGTGCCTGATGAAGGCAACTTTAAGGAAACTCTTCGAGTTTCTTCCAGAGAGAGGGTAAAGATAATAATGATATTATATGAGGTAAGTAGGAGAGGAACTTCTTAAATCATGGATAACACAAATGCTGAAAATACCGAACCTATTATGCTACAATCTTCCCTGTCCCTTCCTAAACACATCCCTTAAAAAATATCTTCAAAAATAAAAAACCTTATAGAGTACTCTTGTATTCATGAAGATACAAAGATTCTTGAAACAGTACCACCGTTAGTCAGCCCATATAATATTTTCAAAAGACAACGATATGTTTTTAAAAGTATCACTAAGTTGATCTCCACCAGAAGGCCAACAATGACAGAATATGTCCAGTCTTCCAGAATGAATCAGTGAGAACTACAAGCCACTTCTCAAGAACAGTATGTATATCTAGAGATTCCTACTGAATTAATCACTCACTGGAGGCAAGAAGGCTATACTGCACTCAATTTTGGTGCAATAAGACTAATCATTTCACTCCATGGAAGGAAATGTCTACCAATTACAGCTCGTATTGCTTTGCTAGATTCTAGCTTCATCCATTATGGAAATGCTGTCATTGGAACTGTGCTGACAACTCTTCATGCGGGAAGTGTGGTCTTAACCATCTTTCCAAATTATAATGTAAGTCTGAAAGACAGAACCTTGCCAAAAAGGTTGAAAGTACAGGTATAACTCACAGGAGCTGACCAAGCATATGAGGCATATGCAACAACCCTTTATCATCAGATGATCTACAGACTTCAAGATCATGTTGTAGATTTTCCCCAGCTTCCTAATAGCCACAGTGATGCCTTGTTTGTCATAGCCAAAAATCCAGAAGATACACCTTCAATCATCCAGATTTCAAGAAAGATATCTCGTGAAGAACTGACAAAATTGATTCCTTTAGAATGACTGACTAATTATAAAAAGATTCACAAAGCCAGCAAACCCATCAGTCCCATGAGGCTAGTTTCAGAAGATCTGTTGATGGAACTGTCAGAACAATCTTCAAGAAGCCTGATGCAGTAGCCAACAGTTATACTCTTCCTATTTTTCAGTTTATGATGATATCTCCATGTTATACTAAAGATCAGATCCCTGTTCATGGGATAAGGCCAGATGGATCTCCCATCTTTACTGATCTTATTGATGGTCATTTCATATGGGATGTAGATCCTAATATGTGTGATTGTTGGATGTACACTAGAGATACTTCAGATGAAGATGAAGAAGAAAACACCACAAGGAGTTGTAGGCGTTGCAAACCACCACCTCTTGTCCAAAGAAGATCTGACCCAGATAATGGTCCTTGGGTAGGTCTGAAGACACAGAAAAAACCTAAACCTCTTTGGATCTATAAGAGAGGTTTAGAAATTCTGAGAGAAGAAGGATTACTCCCACCAGAACCACCAAATGACCCTGAAATCTTAACCTGGTCACCAAAAGACATCTTTTCAAAATACCAGCCTGAACCAATACCTTGCATGATGTTTTCACAATATGATTTTCCTCCCTTAGAAATACATTCTGACCAAACCACCAAAATCACTACCAAGCCGCTGATTACTCAAGGAGAAGTCCATCCAGATGGAAAGCTGAAACAGTTAAGCCAGGCTGAAGAAGTACTCAATTGGTAGACTGAAAATGCTCAAGCTCAGAATACTATTCTAAAAAGACTTGATGCTAAGGTTGAAAAGATTTACAATCAGATAGATACTGTTGAAGACCGTTTGCAACATCTTTCAAAAAAGATGAGGAAGTATTATGAGAAGAACATGCAGCAAATTGCCCAGCTTGAAGAAGAAGTCAGAAAGCTAGGCTTTACTCCAGAAGCCAACATGAGAGATAGGGAGATAAGGAGGCTAAAAGAAGAAATTCAAGATCTGGAAAGAATCATTGAACAAAACATCATATCTCAGCAAACACCAGAACCTGTAGAAGGCCACAACCCTTTTTTTGCCACCTCCTATGCCAAATTACTATTCTCCTTTCCAAAAACTATTAGAATTCTGGACCAATCCACATCCTCCTAAACCTTAGACTTTTCCAAATAGCCAACCTTATGACCAAAGAACCAGGAGAGAAAGCGGGGAAAGAGGAAAACAACCTTCTACTTCTAGAAGACATTCATCTAGAACTAGAATGGAAACAACTCCCTCCTTGTCCTCAGACTCTACAGACCGTGTTAATAATCCCAGCTCTTCAAAAAGAACTTTTGAGACTGTAGATCTCAAAGACCAATTAGCCATAATCCAGACAGAACCTCAAGATACAGATGAATCCCAAACCTCTAAAACAACTTAATCTTCCTCAAACACTCAGAGTTCCAATTCCTCTGAGATCTCTTCCAAAGAAGCTGTTGAATTAAAACCAGAACATCAAACTTCCTCTGAAACCACACCACACCTGATACCTCAGAAGAAGAACAATCTGATGAAGTTCTAGACTCCTCCGATATTTCAGAAGAAGGATACGCTGATATTACTAGCATACTGATGGCCAGAACTGCAGAATCCAGAGTTGAGTCATATTATGATTCTCCTGAATCTGAAACAGCAGTAAGAAGTCAACTGCTGCAGGACCGTGGTTTACACTTGATGATATTTCTCTAAATCTATAGAGGAAAAGACTCTTAGAATTTG